CTATTTTCTGCTTTTCTATTTTTTATTTCTCATCCATCCTATAGAACTACTGGAGGTATGAGCAGAGGTGGCAGCAGACAATATGAACGGGGGCATTTGGCTGAAGTCACTTTGTTATTCCATTAAAAATAAATAATCATCATAAAAAAAATTCATGTTTTAAACCTTATACACATAGAAAAATGTAGACAAAGTTATGAGAGGGCAAACATATCTGTCTCAGATTACATGCGGAGACAAAGCTGGAGACAAATGGGAGAGAAATTTTTTCCAGAGTACACCACTCACTAAAACATTTGACTGTGCTCAGTATCCTCGACACATTTACATTTTGTTTTGCAATTTTCAAACAGTCCTGCTTTAAAAATAGCTGCACGACCTGATGAATGGCACCTTTATTGTTTTATAGATGTGAGGGGTACTTCAAAGTCTGACCCATCTGCTCATTGTCCTCATCAGTCATGGTGGTTAACACGATTCACCGTAATTAAACTGAGCTCACACTGCAGCAACTTATCAGTTACGTGATTGTTTAAGTTTCATTACAAAACTGTATGAACTGGCATAACTTATAGTTGAGGTGTATCGGTAGGATTCAGCTGAGGTGCACAGTGACTTTTGTGGGCATAAGCCTGGACTGCCACTGCAGTAATGAGAAGCACTGTACCTCACTGGGAAATGAACACCTCCAAATCATGAACTGAAATGGATAAAACAAGTGGAGCACTAACAACATGTGTGGATCAGCTTCAACATGTTGATTCAGAACATCTGTGGAGCATCACTGCCCCCAAGTGACTAGACTTTAATCAGTTTTACTTTCAAACACTGTTAGTGACCACACAAGACACCTGTTAGATTATATTAAACCACAGTGGGTCTTGCAGGGTTTGGGATGTAGAGCCTCTACAGATAGATGCTGATGAGATTAAAAATGTGAAATCAAGTTATGAGATCTTTATTAAGTGGGGAATTTTGAAAGGTTAACATTATGATTGTTCTGACCTAAAAGAAAGGATCGACCCTTTGTGTGATGCATGGGCTTTGCAGATTTTTGGCTTCTAAAGTGGTGCGTACCAGAAAGTATTACAGCATCATGTGAGCACTTTAATTCCACACAAGTTAGATTAAGCTCTAATAACTGAAATTCTAAATTTGAAAATTTGATATCCAGTGCCCTTTATAGTATTTTAAAAAGAAAAGACAAATTGCAGTCATTGAACAAACTTTATTTATGACAGAAATAAATGGCACAGGACCATTAAGTCATTTAATACTCTTCTCCCTCATCATCCTCTCCCAAGCTATCAGTTCCCACCTCCTCATAATCCTTCTCCAGAGCTGCCATGTCCTCTCTGGCCTC